TCTGGGTGATCAATGCCTATCAGCTGGCTGCTCTTGCGTTGCTATTCCGTTATCGGCGATTGGCGCGCGGATCGGTTACGCGCGGATGTGCTGCATCGGGATTGCTCTTTTTCTCGTTGCATCTGTCTTCTGCGCCCTTTCCCGGTCATTGCTGGAAATGAGCCTCGCCAGAGCATTGCAGGGTGTGGGTGGCTCATGCATTATGAGTGTCAATCTTGCCCTTATCCGTTTTATCTATCCGCACAACACGATCGGTAAAGGCATCGCCTTAAATGGGCTTGTGATTGGACTAGGCGTCGCTTCAGGGCCGTCCATCGGATCACTGGTTCTTGAATTTGCTTCGTGGCAATGGATTTTCTGGGTCAATCTGCCGGTCGGTCTGCTTGCACTTGTTCTTGGCTGTTTCACTCTTCCCCCGACGCCCCTGTCTGAGCGTCCACTGAACCTGAAAGCAATCGTGCTCAGCATCGCGGCAACGACTTTAACGGTGATCGGGATTGACTCACTTGTGCATGGCGGTCGGGCGGGCGCCGGCTTGCTCACGCTTTTGGGTTTTATTTGCGGCGTGTCGCTCATTCGACTGGAGAAGAACGCCCGCACACGTGTCGTTCCGACGGATCTGCTTCCGATACCGGATATATTCCTGGCATTCTGCGTGAGTGGTCTCGCTTACGTGGCCACCAACCTTTACATCATTGGCCTTCCGTTTACTCTGGAAACGGTCTTCCACCGTGCGCCGACCGTCACGGGTTTTTTGATTACGCCCTGGGCGTTATCTGTTGGGATCACATCTTACCTGATCGGCAAACTGGCCGATCGCTGGCCGGCCGCCCTGATCGGCGGTATCGGGCTGGCGATGACGGCGACGGCTTTTTCCTTCTATGGTGCCTGCCGGTGACGGCGTCGGATTTTGACATTGCCTGGCGCGTGGCATTTGGGGGATGTGGGTTTGGTATGTTTCAGCCTCCCAATAACCGGGCGCTTGTTGTGGCGGCACCTGAAGGGC